CAAAACGCTGTCGATCGCGAACCTCCATAGTGCGCGTGCTTTGTTCTTCGCAAGCTCCTCTTGGCTAGGTTGTAGGTAGGAAAATCGCACCCACGGCGCAACGCAAAGTTTGAAACGGCCTAGAACCGCGGAGTCCTCTAGTGCAGCATCGAGATTCCTGACATCGTCGAGGGCACCGAAGGCACCTGCGATCTCGTTGCGTGCTGCGTTCAGCGTACCCGTGAACCGCTGCGTTTTCGATGCACGTTCCTTGTTGTATCTGATCGCGGACCCCTGCAGCTGGCCAGTGATGGTGAAGTCGCCTGCCTCATCTACCCCTGATCCCATGATCGCTCCGTCGTCTCCGTCGGGGGGTAGGGTGAGGAATAGAACACCAGCCGATGACTTGCCAGCATAACTGCCGTCATATTGTTTCACCGAAACGTGACCGCTCCAAACGACCCAGTGATCAACCGAGATGGAAGATGATTGCACTTCGTCTTCATTGTAAATTTCAACGTGGGGGTAGAGGTCCTGCTCAGGGTAGAAAAGTGCCTCTGGGGGCTCATTCTCTTGGACAATGTCGATTTCGGCATAAAAAACGTCACAGAGCGAAAGGTGTCTGGATGAAAACAGAAGATTGCGGACGGTAACGAGCCCGTTCGAGTCCCATTTAGACCTGGACCGAAGGTAAATGGCGGAAAAATACTCATTCTTGTTTAATATATCCAATTCTTCGGCATACTTGCAGTAATAGTACTGATTGAGTTGATGTCAGTTCGTTCACGACACATTGCAAAAATATACTCACCATTCCGTAAGACAATTTCTGAAGCTGCTCCTTTGGATCGAGGTTTTGAAGCTTACACATCGCTGATGATTTAACGTCCATGGGCAACGATGTAAAAATCAAGAGAAATTCAGCGCAAACCTGCTAGGTGTTCAGCGCGATCCCATGCTGCCTTGCAAATAGTGCCTAGAGAGCTGATAATACCGGCGATTTCTCCAGGATGTAAAATGAGCTTGCACGCATGGCGAAGGACATGCCATAGGCGGCGTAGTAGCAAATAAATCAGGGGTAGCAAATTCTGAACGCATGCCCAGCACAGGATGAGCTACTTGTGATTGATCTGTGATAAACTCATGCTTACCTTTTCGAGACTGGTGGAACCAAGAACGAATTGAAGTGTGTTTTGCACGTCGATGCAGTATCTCACAGATTTCAATTTACTCTTCATCTTGGCCTCCTCGCCGTTGACGTAATCTCCAAAGCGGTCGAAGAGATCTTGGTCCCATTCTGACAAGTCCAGACCAATGTCGTAGACGCCAGCGAGTATGTGGTCGAGAAAGTAGGTAGGCCAAACATGGTTCTGAAAATAATCGACAATTATATTATTTCCCGGCGATGATTTCCTCGCCTCTTCCGCCATTATGGTTATTCGCGCGAGCAGAACCTGAATACGCCGGAAGTAGTAGCGAAGGGTGTGCGGAAAACCTGCGATAAGTGGATGTCTTTAGATGTAGCATTGCGATAATGATTAGATAAATATCTAAAATGTAATCCGCACCTGCTGCCCAATATGCCATCCATTTGACCAGACTGATGAAATATGTCAATAATTTCGATTACATCCAATGCAAAAACTACAAACCTCCAGTCACTTGGCCGAGCACTGCTGAAGGCATTCACTTCGGATACTGAGACAAATGAGGATGCATCGTTGTCAAACGCCTCGAGCAAGGGCTGAATCCGAGAAATGGTGATATACTCCAAAGCCCACTCGTCTTCCGGAAGTGTGCCACGTCTGGTAACGTGTGCAATCTCTTGCACTTTCGTTGAGTCACTAGACTCTTCACTGGTCAAGACAATTCCGTGGCTCTCTTCGAGAGCCTGGCGTTCGCTCAGGGCGCTTTCCTTTTGGTGCTCGACATAATATTCGCGTAAGCCTAATACCAGGCTCCGAGCTTTCGCCATGCCTTTCCACCCCTAATAATGTTAACGTAAATATGCAACAATAAAACCCGAGAGTGCCGCGTACCGACTCCTTCCAGACCTCATATAAGTCCTGTGATTGAGTGTTAGACTGAATGTTTCATGGTTTGAAAGATGCATGCCTTGTCGACTATTCGGTCATGTGGTCCGGACGTGATTGCACCAATGACACGATCCCCTTCGCGCCTCGCGATGAAGAACATACCCTCTGCTAGGGCATCCTGTTGAGCCCTGAACTTGCAACTGAAGAGCTCCTCGTTCTCCTGCACCATGTCTGCAAAAGACTTGTTGACGTCGCGAACAATGTCTTTGAGGTGCATTGCCTGGGCATCCTTGTCCGCGCTTCTCTCAATCAGTTCTCTCATCAGGCTCTCGTCCGTGAGCACCTTATCCGCACCGCCATGGAGCTCAATCATCTGGATCAGCTCGCGATCGAGAGGAGACCGTAGTGATTGCAAGAGAAGCAGCGTGCTTGTTTTGTCATTGGTGCTTGCGACATGCGAGGAGACAGTAGCCAGGGTCTCGTTCGCTTGGTGGATGCCGACGCTAGAGTAGACTGCGAGATCTTCTTGCAAGGCCTGCTTGTGATCGTCAAAGAGCTTGATAAAGCCCTCTAGTTTGCTTTCCCACTCCAAACTCCGGAAGAGTTTGACTGGAAGGAGTACTATGAGCCTAAGCACTCGACAGGACGATGTGCCAGTGCAAGGTGCATACCGACTGTCTGCTTCTTGGAGAACGTATCGCATATTGCAGAATACCTCTCGATGTCATCGGCTATCTTCGTAATGCGCTCACGGAGGCGCTCCTCGACGGTCTTCCCATCATCCACGCGCTCGTTCCCAGGGATGCTGCGGATGCTGGCATGTCGACGCATGATTACAAGTCACGATCTCAATCCTTGATAAGAAACAAAGAGAAGCATACAACGCACATGAGCAGCACCGAAAGCACATCGTACATCTTCACTCGTATGAGCATGACCCGTTTGTCGTTCTGTCGGCGACTCATCTCAAACTGAAGCGCGGTCTTGAACGCTAATACGACGACTGCGTACGGGTCGTTATAGTAGCTGTTGCACGGCTGATAATCACATACCGGAGACGAAAGGATGGATCTTTGCAAGATCATCAAGAGCATTGCTAAGAATTTTGCAAGTCGATAATAGGTTGTCGATCTGTGGCTGAACGAGTTGAATCGTCTGAGTAGCGACTGGCGTGATTGCCTGTGCAGTCGGGCCAGACGCTTCTGCCTGTACGGCGTCGACCGCGGCTGCGGAGAACGCTGGGACGAGCACCGTTGCGTAGCGGAAGAATAGCTTACTTATGAAGTTCGACCATTGGGACGGCCTTGCACTTGCAGTGTCAGTAGCGGCTGAAAGCCTAAGAGAAACTGATGCCTTGGCAAGGCTATCATCCATGTCGGTTTCTTTTGACATCATAGTAGTACTAGTTCTTCGCCAGGTTCTGCAGTCCACGTAGAATGATGGTCTCAGCTGGACCAAAGATTCTAAACCGATAACTTACGACCAAACTGTTCGCGGTTCGTGACCGTGACACCTGGATTTGGACGTCTAGCTTATGGTTCAATGTTCACGTTCACGTTCAGCGCTCAGCGCCGGGCGCCGGAAGGCTCCCGGAGCGACGGCGCCTTTTATTTTTTGCTCTCTTCCAGGGTGTAGCACGGCATGTGAACTGTAACGTAAGAATTTGTTGAAAGTAGTCCACAAAAGCTGTAGCAATCGAATCAAAGGGGTTAAGAAAGTGCGAATCATTAACCTATATTGCGAGCGAGGTTTCAAACCTACGCGCAGTCTATGAAGTACAAACACGACTAATCAAAATGAAACGCGATTAGCAAGATTTACCGAAATGTCGCGTCCAGTTCAATCTGAAACCCATCTACAACGCTTTGCAGACGGCTGCGGAAAGACCACCACTCGGTTTATTTTTTATTGCCTGATCCATCTTGCTGAGTGTTTGCTGTTACTCTCGAAACCGGGGTACTAGTATTGAGCACATTACACCATTGGCCTGTCAGTAGTTCGCGGCCAGGCGCTCCATGATATATTGTGCGGCCTTCGAACCAGTCAGTATCGACAAGTTCCTGGGGGAGGACAACGAGTGTGGCTTACCGAGATTGGTTCATATTTCTTCGGTCGCCCCGCGGAGTACGTCGTTGGTACACAGTCTACGACGGTATTGAAGTCCTGGCCGAATATCAGTTTGTCATGTGTTATGCGAGACGAACAAGCACACACCGCTGCGCAGAACTGCAGATGAATGCATCCAGTCAGCTACAACAACGTGAAGTACGACAGCGTGTACTGACGTATGGGATGGAGTAGCGCTCAGGCGTCATGCCGACCGAGCTAGCAAAATTGGGCGGAGCGCGAACGCGATGAACGGTGCTCCGTAAGGTGTCATTCGACCCTGTAAAAGGAATGGGATTCTCCGCAATGTCTTTATCGGAGATAGACGCTTACACCGCTGTAAGAAGTCGCCGGCATTGACGATTACAGCACCATCCACCGGCGTGGCGCACTGTACACACTCAGCATCCTGACTAGCTGCCAATGAAGACACATACCTTGAACTGCCCAGGCTCGTTCGGGTCTTCCACCTCCAACCCGCCGACGGAGTCCTGGAAGAGGAACGTTATGCTGCAGAAATCGGTGTGTGCCCCGATGCGGGTCACTTCTTCGTTCTTGAGCTGTTCGACGGGCACACTGCGTCGTGTGAGGATCAGCAGGGTCTGTTTGGTAGTGGAAATGACGCACCCGGGGTAGTGCAGTAACCGCAGTTGGTTATCCGCTTTGGTGTGATACTGAAGAAAATAGGTTTCATGAGCTCTGAGCCCCAAGGCAAGGGCGCGGAGGAAGTTCATTTCGAGCACTTCACGGCACGCCTACAGCGTCCAGGCATTATTAGCGTTTGTTCTGGACGCTCACGCAGGAGTAGCAAACCCAGTAGAAATCTGTGCATGTCTCCTTGAAGCCGGACAGCACACCATCGGGCAGCCAGATGTTGGGCATGTAGGGGTCATCTTCGCGCCCGCACTCGAAGCTCTCTTTCACATCCGGAGCCTTGGCCCGACGCTCCTTGAGCTCGTCGGCGTCGAAGACATCTTTCACGACTTTCTCGACGCCGGGCGAGGAGTAGCCTGTGCATGTTGATGAACAGTGAGACATTGCGAACGAACGGTCAAAGTGCGACGTACCTCGATGGTGCGCTCCGTCTGCGGGATGCGGGGCAAGCATCTTCACGTCCATCGGCTGGGAGAAGAAACGCTTCGACTAGGGGTGTCTGTCAGCCACAACAGCTCTCGAGAGCGACATGCGCGAGCAACGAACCCAGTCAAACATGCCGTCCACCTTATCCTGGGCCAGGCCATGGTTGACCAGGTACACAAACCCGATGTCCTTGAATGATTGCACGATCGCGTCCGCGACCTCCTGCTTCCGCGAGCCGTCCAGGAACGGTGCAAAGTCGACAACGCTGATCCCGCCGGCCTCTCCTACCTTTACGTTAGACATGTTGATAAACGCTAGAGAGAGGGGTCAAAGCCGTAAACGTGTGCTCTTATAAGGATCCATGTTATCATGTGCCACCGTGAGACGGGATTGCCCCACACGCGCGCCGGACGCTGACACCAGCTTCCGGCCCAGGAGTAAACGCGTAGCGCGGCTCAATTCAGAACGGGCCGCCGCGGAAGTCAAAGATCTCCCCGCCAGAAAAGTTTCTCTGAAGCCAGCGTTCCGACTTGGGCCTTTCAACTGGCACAAGGCAGTGTGCTATTGGCGCAGAAGATACTCCACTACTGTACAGCGCAGAACAGGCCGAGCCTCTCAAAATATTGGCTACGGTGAAGTTAGTCCAGTCGTCACGAATAATAGAGCGGGCTGCGTTTGCGCACGTACCTTCGGCTTCCTATCCGTAAGTGGAACGTACTGCAGGACATTAAGGGTGTGCAACGGTGTCTGGGGGAGAAGACCTACCATAACGTCAAAGAGCGGCGTCTTCGTGACGTCGCCATTCTCGTCCTTGTCGACTTGCCAGATAGCTTGTGAGCCGGTACCGACGGGAATAAACATTCGTCCAGGGCTCGCAAGTTGGTTCACAAGAGCATCCGGTAGGACAGGCGCAGCTGCACCAACATGAATTACGTCGTACAGAGCAGCCGGCGCGTATCCTATGAAGATTTAATGCTTAGCATAGTACAGAATCTCGTGGAGCGTACCTTTTCTGCCGTCACCCTCGACTATCTCGACACGACCATCGTCTAAAGCGCCTCCCAAGCCGTCTTTCTTCAAGTTGTCCACCGAGAATTTCACTAGCTCTGGGATGTGTTCGATACCGACCACCTTCCCCGAAGTGCCGGACGAGCTGGAAACCAGATGATAGAGAACTGCTACAAGGTATCCGGAGCCAGACCCTACGTCGAGCACGCGGCTCCCTGGCTTGATATAGGGAAGCAGATATTGAAGGGCATGGGCATGCTGTGTGGAGCTTTAGGTCAGCATAGACATGAGCATGAGGAAACCGCGCACCATATGAGGAGCTGAGATGGTGGCATCATATCCTATGTATCTTCACGAACGCTCAGAGAGGATCTCATCACTGAACAAGACTACATGCGCACTGAGGAGAGTCTTCGTATGCATTCGCTTTGTCCAAAACGTAATGAGCGCGATCGACTTTAGCCATGGCCTGACCATGTCGGTGGGTGGCTGCGAGAAGGAGGAGGATGGGTCCACGTCAAATACTCACATTAGTCACGACCTCGGACTTGATGATACCATGCTTCGCCAGGTTAGCGATAAGTTCTGCGCTTGTGTTTCCTGTGCATCTCCAAGCCATCTTGCGCGGCGCAATTACAGAGAGAGAGGTCAGTAAAGGTTAGGTACACACTGCAAGCAGTGTCCGAGATATAGCAGAGAGCAGCGAGGTGGCAGGAGCAGGTGATCAACCTCTGACGTCAGGCGTCCACAGAGAAAACTCGTTGTTTATTCAATGGGAGAGGAGACGCTAGACTGAAGTTTGTTCTGATATATCGAGTCAGCCGGACACAGCTAATAGAAAACGACAACAAAGTCTCGAAAAAATGAGGAAGAGGAACCTGAGGCTAATTAGCGGGATATGACTGGTCGCCTCTCGCGTAAGTCACGTGATGCAGTTCGGTTCCGGTATGAAATTTATGGGCGTACCGCCAGACTCGATCTCAGTCCCCTGCTCGTCGACGCCGTCGCCGCCATGGCTGATAAAATCACCCGTATCGCTATCGTCGACGCTAACAGATGTAAGCCCAAGCGTTGCGCGCAAGAATGCAAAAAGGTGCACGCCCAAATTAACTGCGTCATCGTCGAGATCATCTCGCTAACCTGAGCTCTCGCCAGTCATGTCCCGTCGTAAAGATGGGTACGTTCTACAATTTGGTCAGCGAGGGGGGAAATTTAGATTGAACTCTCGATAACTAGGCAAACTCTGTATTGAAGTCAAACCCTCAGACAAGATCGCATTCATCTCAGAGTTCCTGTGTATCGGCTGTGGTATCTGTGTAAAGAAGTACGTGTTCTCATACCTCCTTCTTACGCAGGCGTTACAAAATAGATGCAAAGCGAACTTATATCTCATCTAGATGTCCCTTTGAAGCCATCGCTATCATCAACCTACCCACGAACCTGGATTCTCAAGTCACTCATCGTTACACTGCGAACTCTTTCAAGCTTCACCGTCTCCCCACTCCCCGCCCGGGCCAGGTGCTTGGACTTGTAGGCACCAACGGTATTGGCAAGAGTACCGCATTGAAGGTTTTGGCCGGCAAGCTGAAGCCTAACCTCGGCCGCTACGATGTATGTCATACTCCCCGTTTTAGAAATCTCGGTTCACCTTTTGCTCTAGGATCCTCCAGACTGGCAGGAAATCCTCAAGTACTTCCGTGGCTCCGAGCTTCAAAACTACTTCACAAAGGTCCTTGAAGACAACCTTAAAGCTCTCATTAAGCCGCAATACGTCGACCATATTCCCCGTGCCATCAAGGGCGTAATGACAGTCGACACGATGCTTGACACTAAGCTAGAGCTCGATAACAAGCAGAAGCTCTGCGACGTTCTGGAGCTGAACGAGGTCTTGACCCGCGAGATCAATCAGCTCTCTGGTGGCGAGCTCCAGCGTTTTGCCATCGCCATGACTTGCATCCAGAGGGCAGATGTGTACATGTTCGACGAGCCCTCTTCGTACCTCGATATCAGGCAACGTCTGATCGCCGCCGAGGTCATCCGCAGCCTTCTCACTCACGAAAACTATGTCATTGCCGTTGAGCACGATCTGTCCGTCCTCGATTATCTCTCCGATTTCATCTGCTGTCTGTATGGCAAGCCGTCGATGTACGGTGTCGTCACCATGCCTTACTCTGTCCGCGAAGGTATCAACATCTTCTTGGATGGTTTCATCCCTACCGAGAACTTGCGATTCCGTGAAGAATCCCTTTCGTTCAAGATGGTCGAGACCGCGGAGGAGATCATTATCGACAAGACTCGTCACTACCAGTACCCGGCCATGACCAAGACACTTGGTGGCTTCAAGCTGACTGTCGAGCCCGGTAGCTTCACCGACTCGGAGATCATCGTCATGCTCGGCGAGAACGGCATGGGAAAGACGACGTTCGTGCGTCTCCTCGCAGGTGACACGCCCGACGTCGAGACGGATCGCCAGGAGCTCTCGGTCTCGCTCAAGCCGCAGGCCATCTCGCCCAAGTTCCCGGGCACGGTCCGGATGCTGCTCCTGAAGCAGATCAAGGCAGCGTTCATGCATCCGCAGTTCCAGACCGACGTCGTCAAGCCAATGAGTCTCGAGAACATCATCGACCAGGAGGTCAAGACGCTCTCCGGAGGTGAGCTCCAGCGCGTCGCCATCGTGCTCGCGCTCGGCAAGAGCGCCAGTGTGTACCTGCTCGACGAGCCCTCGTCGTTCCTGGACTCGGAGCAGCGTATCATCGCGAGCAAGGTCATCAAGCGCTTCATCCTTCACGCGAAGAAAACGGCGTTCGTCATCGAGCACGATTTCATTATGGCCACCTACCTCGCGGACCGTGTCATCGTCTTCGAAGGCAAGCCCGCTATCGCAGCCACCGCCACGCCGTGCGTGTTCATCACTGTCTAGTGTCCTGCTACTTAGCGCTAACCTCCGTTTACCAGACCGCAAGCGCTGCTGACCGGTATGAACAAGTTCTTGGCCTCGCTCGAGATTACGTTCCGCCGTGACCCGACGAACTTCCGTCCCCGTGTCAACAAGCTCCACTCGATCAAGGACCGCGAGCAGAAGGGTACGTCTCTCCGGACCCTTCCTACACACCTCTGCTCACGTTACTTTGCAGCCTCGGGCAACTACTTCTTCCTCGAGGAAACGTCCTGAAAGTCCCCGCGATAGCATGGGGCATGCGCCATACGCTTCTGGGCGCGGACCTGGGTCCCGCCGGTGTAGGATAGAAAGGGGTCAGCCGAGCATGTGGGTAGGTGTGTTACCTCGTGCTGCTCACTGTAGCTCTAGACGGAATCATTCGAGGTCAACCTTTTTTCGTATTTGTATCCATCTAGCTGTATGTTAACTCGCAGCTCCGCTGTGGTGCGGTAGGCGGAATCGGGTACGGAGTGGTGAGTAGTAACAGTTCTGTGGTGGCCATTTGGATGTGCGAATAGAGTAGTTGGAAGAATGAAAGGAGTGTTTTGGGAGGTGTATACTTCTTGCGTCTGTATGCTCAGGCCAAGATTTCACCAGAGGCTACGCAACGTTACCTATACGTCCGATTTTTGCTGGCTTACTCTAGATCTCCGCCTGGAAATATGGGCTCGGGACGGCGGTACGGGGCAGTAAGCCAACTAAAGCCAAAGCTGGTCAGGTCCTGAACCTGAACGTAGCTTTATCTGGCTTTAATGAGTTACTTTGGGCATCTTTCAGCTGCTTTGTTACGTCTTAAGCCATGATAAGCCAAAGCGTTAACCATCCCGCGCGCTCGTTCTCCTTCTCTCGTTTGCCCTTGTCCACCGCGTCTTCACTACACGAAAATCGCGCATACTGTACGAGTTTGAATGGGAGCAACGTCACGCGTCACAAGCCTCTCCAGGGTTGTAATTTTTGGGTCTTGTCACGGAACTTTGCACCAAATTTGGGCCAAAATCGAGATAAATCCAACGAAAAATCCCCCAAAAATCCCCCAAAATTACTGTTTTTGGCAATTCGGCGCCCGCTGTTGCTGATGCTGGCTTGGATGTCACACCCCCGGGGTTGGTTGCTCCCATTCAAACTCGTACAGTATACGCGCGTAGCGATGCAAATGCTAACAGCAAGCAATGCAGTTAGACATCCCTGCACGTTCACACCTCCACTGGTGGCCGCCGCGTCGTCATTTCCAAGAGAGCACAAGAGCATCCCGCAAGCCTAAGTACTATAATGTCTGCCCCCAATGTCGCCATTAGTGTATTGTCATCTACTCTATGTATGCACATGTAGGCAGACGTGCGTCTCCTGTTCGGTATCCTGTGTAACTACATGCCCACTATGCACTTTATAGGGCTTAAGCTGTGAAAGCTGGTGTCGAGTCCGCTGGTGGCACCACTTCTATCTATCAGCAAATTCTCCACACGCAAGATCATGGGCGTACTCCGCTTATCATCATTTAAGAGAGCGTACCGGACACACCAGGTAGGCGGGCACAGGCGTTCTGGGACCAGGCCGACGATCATTGGGCCAAATGTACGCCGGTGTTTTTGTCTTAATCTCTAGCTGGCAGGGCGGAGGTCAAGGCGTGTAAGGCATACTGTACTTTCACGACCGTAGCGGATGTCACACTCACGCCGGTTTTTGGCTGACATCGCCAATAATATTTTCTCAATCTATGGCGATCTTGGCGACTTGTCGGGAAAACTCATTTTGGGCACTTTCATTCGCTACGGTCGTAAAAGTACAGTACCTGTAGGGAGGCGGTGGCTTAATATCGGCGATAAAGCCGAAGGTGACTGTCATCTGTGCACTTCCTACCCTCACTGATCACGGCATCAATCTTGTCGACGTTCCGCTTGAATGCTCTACGATATTCTCGATACTGTCCAACCCTACCGAGGTTCGCGGTGGCTCTCCTTGAGGCGCCGGCACTTTCGCTGCAGTGAATTGCTCCCGATTATTACAGCCCTTGAGTTGGGGCTCGCGGCAGCGCAAGGCAAGCAGTTTTGGAACACCATCAGTAACTTCAGTTTCAATGCTTAGATCCTTGCCGTCCGCTCCATATAGCTCTGCTATGCTCTTGTGTTGTGACTTCTGTGGATCATGCACCTTACAAACGGAAACATCGTCTATCTTGCATTCTACATCATGTTACGATTCTAGTCGTGTCAAATATATGTGCGAGGTAGAATATCACTCGCTTGGTCAGCTCTGCACTTAGGCTTGGAGCCGCTGTGGTAATAGCAAACCCGACGGCGGGCTGTCTACAGTCAGGTGAACCCTGTGCAACAGCTGTCAGCGGTTATAAAGAAGGCGGAGTACTGCAACTGGTGCAATCATAGGCTCGCTGTCATGGCTAGGAACAAGAAGAAGCATGCCTTCCAAATTCTGCGGATGAAGTGTGGTTGTTAGAGCTGTCATTCAGCTCTGCCGCACGCACGGCGACAGCAAATACGTCTAACAGCTTCATCGTATCCTCGATCCCCACGCTGACGCGCACGAGGTCTTCGGGGACGCCATGCTTCGCTGCCCACTCCAGCTCGGTGAAGTGGCCATACAGCGTGTACGGGCAGGAGAGTGTGAAGTTCGTGCCAAGGCTCGGGCCTTTTGCGCACTCGAGGGCGTCGAAGAAGGCATGCGCGGCGCGCGGCGAGACGAACACGAGCGAGAAGAGGCCACCAAAGCCGCCCTCGCCGGACGTAAATTTGCTGCGGTAGGCGTCGTAGAGCTCGTGTGTCTGCCACTTGGGGTAGTGCACCTGGGCGATAATGTCCGTGCGGCTGCGGAGGAAGTCACAGATGGCCCCGGCGTTCTTGTCGATCTGCACGATGCGTTCACAGAAGGTCCGCGAGTTGAGCTCCATGACCACGGCGTCTTCTTCAAAGTAGATGTCTTCCCAGTTGCGTTCCAGTGCATTCTTCAGGATGGCATGGTACTTGCTCAATGGGTTAAGGACGAGACTGCAGGCAGTCAATCATCCGAAAAATACGGGAGTGAAGATAGAGAAACGTACCTTCCACCCATTACATTGGCGCATCCGCTGAATATCTTCGTCAAGCTGCTTACCACGATATCGGCGTAGGGGAGGACGTCAACATTGACGAAGTTGCCGATCGTATCGTCGATAACAATTGGGAATTCGTATTGATCCGCGAGTGCGCGCAGGCGGTGAAGATCCACGGACCGCAACAGAGGATTTGACGGAAACTCGGTGAAAAGCGCGAGGATGGGTGGCTGTGACGGAGACCTCTGGGACATCAATATGGCCTCCAGCCTGTTGAGATCTGCCTGGTCTCCATCCGGATAAAAGTGGCATCCCGGACCCCATTTCTCTAGAATCTTGAGAGTGTCGGTGTAGGGAAATCTAAGACCAAAAGAGCGGCTCTGATGAGCAATTAATCACCAAAGACCCGGGAGCTAGAAACACACCCGAAGCAGACACTCTTGCGAGTACCAAGGACGCTCAAGAGAAGTTGATGGGCAGACCACATCGCAGTCACACCCGTAGGATACAGGAAGACATCACTTGAGGCAACAGGAAGCAGCGACGACTTGGGGCCTCGATGAACTGCGCAGTCGATGCTGTGGGTAATGAGCTTGACTATGCGGTCTCGGAGGATGGACTTTGGACTATTTGCGTCTTGAGTAATTCGCTGGCGTTTATTCCGTACTTGAAGAGGCTGTATCTCGTCTGAGGCTGGAACTAGTGGTTTACGGAGACCACTAAAAAATAGAAACGAGATGTACTGCTCAGCGAAGCGACCGGAGATGCCAAAGCCTGTATGCTGCCAAAAGGCGAGAGCCGTAGGCATCGCAGTGGAAGGGAATATCACCATAAAGATATCCGATCCTTGGCGAGCATCGAGGGGTTGGAGGGCCTTGACGTGAACTACTGCACCTGCCTTCGCGGTAATAAAGGCACGGCATGCTTCAGCGGCTAGAGCGGAGCGGACGAGCAATGATCGCTCTGAAGGAAGAGCGAACAATTTCTCCAACTGCTCGGCAAGCTGTGCGGGTCGGTCAGCTCTCGAGTAACGACAAAAACAGCCCAAGCACTTACTTTGCGGTTAAAGGGGGGCATGAAGAGACGTGGGTAACCCGTTTGCATGCGGTCGACCGTATGCGACTCCCCTCGCCTGTAGCCGAGGGTATCCCTCCATGTCGGTAGACATACGACTACGGAGTGGTTCCCGGGAGGAATAGGGTGACCGACGGCCTTATAGAGATCAGTCGTATCCATAGGAAAGTGCTATGGGATGAGCATCACGCTGAAGAAAACGGGAGGCTTATATATGTACGTACGAGACGACTTTAAGGATGGGCAATCAGAGACATCCTATGCCTCGAGCTCGTTACCAATGTGCGAAGGAGAGACATTAGTTGACATAAAGTTTGCCGCTAGTTTGCACAAGCGAGGAATAACTTCTGGCGGCACCAGGAAAATTTCTGAACTTAGCTTGAAGGAGAAATGGTATTACCGACTGTCCAGAAATAAAAGCGCGGGATCTCGTAAGTCAAACAATATTAATGCGAAGATGAAACACATCCGCCTGCGGGGACGAAGAATTGATAGGAAATCCGACGTCATGTTGTGGCCGATTATTAATTTTTACTGTGCAGGCTTTCCAAGACTCAAGTTGAAACTTCAAAATACCTGAATGGCGTTAACCGAGCACAGGAGAGCCGCGGGCTGCTGTCACTAAGCGAGTCAAACAAGCGCTCTGCAGCAGCTGAACTGTGATTACGTCCTGCTAGCCACTTGCGAAAATGGCCGCCTCGTTGCCCGGTCTGTTTTCTCCTGCTTGCGTCAACCCCGGCACGTGCTACTATGCAGATGGGGCAGGTTACTTTTGTGCTATATTGCCGATATAGCATCGGAGCATGCATCATCTGGAGCACCATAAACTATACCGACTTGCACCTATGTTGTTTCGCGTGTCTAGCTGCTGCTCTTCCAAGTATGTCATTATCCAGCCTTCCAGAGGACGTCGCGGTGAGAGAAACAAGTCCGTTATCATTTTGGTGATGATTGTACAGATCAGAGGCGCTGATAAGATAAAGCATACTCCTCGGAACAGCCTGCATAGAGCATCCGTCCAGGGTGAGTCGAGGCGAAAGGCTGCCGCTCCTTACGTGCACTGGGAGTAGTAGGCTGAAAAAGAGAATATGAGTTTCGGGATAATCCACAATAGAAGGGTCGTTGCTTACGGTTGAGCACCGTGCAGGTGAAGGGCGAAGCACACACCGTCGGGCCCGCCCAGCCCTGGCCACCACACTGGGCATACTGCTGCGCTACAGAGGTCGGCGCGGCAGGCGCACTTGACGGGCCGGTGCTGACGTGCGAGACGGTCGTCGGTGCGGAAATCGGTACGGAAGCCGGTGCGGAAGTCGGGCTCGAACCGCCGACGGAGGTGGGTGCAGCGCCGCCGCCAGGCACCGCAGTGGGGACGGTCGAGGGTTGGAGCGCGGTGTTCCAGGTTGCCGTCGTCGGCCAGGCCGTCGCCGCAACGGCAGGCGATGGCAGATTGTATGGGCTCGGGCCAGGGACTGTAATACTGTCAGAACGGCACAGTCCTCGACGGGTCGTTTGACTTACTGGCGTAACTGTTGAGCTGCTGGTAAATGTTGATGAGAATACCTGGGTCAGTAGCGACGTAGGCACCAGGGAAGTTGACGGTGGGTGGCTCAGCGCTGCCCGAGCCGCCAATGTTAACCTGGAAGCAGGACATGTAGAACTGAGCGCCGCCAACGCTGCTAGCGACGTGAAGAGCTGTTGTACAGTATTGTAAGCGAAATAAGCTGAGAAGACAGGCGAGATGACATACCGATCACTTCAGCACGGATGAGATAGTTGCCCGGAGCGATGCCCTCGGGAACGGTGAAGGTGAAGTGGCCGCAATTATCGTTTAGGACCTCAGTCGCCCAGTAGTCAGGGTTGCTCGACGGAAGGCCCATCTCGTCAACTTTGAACCAGTCGGCCGCAGAGCCAACCGCCGTGGTTGCATCGTCGACCTTGGCCATGTAGATGTTAATTGGGCCGTAGTGGTCTCCCTGAGATGCATTTTAAGTTTTGTCTTAGGTCGGGGACACTTGTACTCACACCGATGGCCTGGGTCGCGCAGGAACGGTCAGCTGGCTGCTGGTGCATTTCTACCGAGAGCTGATCGCCCGCTGTTGCATGTCACGTTTTAGTGAGTGTATGTCGATACGGCGCTCAGTACTTACGGTTGACAGAGCAAATGCCGTTGCTAGGTGTCGGAGTAACGTTACAAGCAAGGTCCTGAGTGTCGCGTTAAGTCAGTGGACCAAGTTTCAAGTGGAAGAAGTAGGACTCGCATCGCTCGTGACGTCGGTGACAGGCGAGTTAGACAGGGGAAGACGGACGCAAGAGCTACCTGGGATAATAGTCAGCTACATAATATTCAGGCCCATTGGCTCGATATAACGCACCCTGGTCGACGCCATTGATCCAGAGCTCCTGCCAGGTGGCATGGGCAGCGGCGCCGGCGATGAGCGAGGCAGCGAAAGCGATAGAGAGACGCATTTTGTCTGAATGATAGCGCGATCCGGTGCTTGAGAGGCGTCTGAGCTGAAAAACTAGGAATGGTCGCCTTGGCCTCTCTGCTTATATGCCCAACAGCTTCATCAGAAAACGTAGATGTCTCCGAGATTCCAGTCGACATACCGGCAGACAAGGAGCAGCAGCTCGCGACACACGGCTATTCATCCGCCCTTCTTCCATCCTATGGGCAGCGCGACGCTCCGCGACCGCTGTACAGGTCGGGTTAAATCCTGGATAAACTGCATGCTCCGAAGGGTTCATGAGACTCTGTCGGCACGCATGAAGGCGAGCGCGGTAAGGTCATGCTTTCGCAAGCGTTCCACAGAAGCCAGAGGTAGTGAATGCTCGGCAGAAAATCAACAGCTCCTGTACCGCATATTTGCCGAATTCGTACCGCCGCCCTGCGCCCATCCGCGGTAATCACGCTTCTGTCGTCGTCCCCGCGCTATTCAACTGTGGGGGCAATTGAACAGTGCGAAGAGGATCTGAAGTGATCGCATGTCGACGGGGCCTACAAGACTCGTCATTGCTCGACGATCTCGACTGGGTCAGAGCTGCCTCTTTTTGAGACAAGGCACCATCAGCCAACATCCGACAGAACAGTACCGACCGATACCTAAGATCTTGCGAGGTTGCAGCTGGACATACTGATGGATCTCAAAATGCTGAAGCTGAAGTTCAATCAATGTCTTCGTTGTGGAGCGGCGCGGCTGGTAACCATACAGACTGAAACCGATATTCTTGCGTAAAATCAGACTGAGGGGTAATGAATGCCGAGTCTATACTGACACCTGTTCCGGTTCAATAAGGTTTATTAGATCGTCTGCGAGTGTAAATTTGGATACAGAAAGGCTCAATGGCATATGAAGAAGGCGCAGAGCGGGATCAAAAGGAAGTAGAATGCCAGAGCTTTAGCTAAGCAGGGAGAATTGTGCACAAAATTTGCTGCGAAAGAAAATTTGGAAGGGAGAACTCGCCGCTGCCAGGATCATTTCGAGTCCCCGGGCATAGCCGAAGAGCTGGCTTTCCTGGTCCTCACGACCTTATTGCGCAGCGCCCTCTCTTTCAGCTCGCTTTCTCGTTTCTTCAGCTCCTCTGGGTCTTCCGTGGGCTTTGGTGACGGCATTAAATAAAGTTTTAACCTGAACGAGCATGATGTAACGTACTTCATCCTTATCCTGTTCGTCCCATTTGCCCTTCCGCTTCTCAGCTTCTGCTTGACCCCGAATCTTCAGTTCAGGGCTGTTGCGTTCCACGTCCATCTTTTGGTTGTCTGCGCGTCGGGGCCCGTCACTCATGGTCCTACTACGCTCGCTACTCCTGCTACGGCTGGGACCGCCTCGCCTCCTCTCTGGTCCCCCTGTTCGTCGAGGAGGGCTGCGACTGAAACTCGGACTCATCCTACGTCTCCGTCTTGGTGGCGAGCGGCTACGGTTGAAGCTTCTGCGTCGACCGTATCCGCGGTAGGGTGGAGACCGCGAACGAGAAGATCGAGAATGACTGGGCGATGGGCGTCTACGACGCGGGGGTGGGCTGCGCGGACGTCTGTCACGGGGAGAATACGAGGGTGAGCGGCGCCTACGATGAACAGGAGAGCGGGAATGCATAGGAGAGAGCCTGCGCCGAGGTGGAGGCGAACGAGATTCACGGGGGCGGTCTCGGCGTGGAGGAGTGCGCGACAATGAACGGTGTGGCGGGGGCGAACGTGAGCGATATCGGCGGGCGGGACCAGGGGATCGTGAGCTAGATGCGCTATGAGTAGAGCTTCTCGATCTTCTCCGTGGCGAGCGAGATGGAGAATGTCGACGAGGGGGTGGGCGCTGAGTGTATGCGTCAGTACAGTAATACTAGCATGTATGCAGCGATGTGATGACGTACTGTACCACCGCGGGCACCCCAGCCACCGTCTCTGCCTCGCGGTGCTCTGTCATCAAAGCCACCTCTACCGCGACCTCTGCCTCTGCCACGTCCGCGGCCCCGCCCAGAGTCATTGGCACGTATCTCGTCAAGGCGCGACCGTCGGTCCCTTTCCTCGAGCGCGCGAGTGTCAGTTTCCCTCACTCGGCGCATTTCCTCCTTCTTTGCTTCAACCATAGACCTTGGCACACCAGCCTCGGATTCTTGTGCTTCAAGCAGGAGCTTCCACAGGTCTGTCATGAATGTCGCCGCATCTTTGGCCAAAAAGCCGGTAAGGTTTATTTGCATTTTTCTGGGGTCAGGGTTCTGCAAAATGTATGAGATCGGTGGCTCAAAGAAGAGAAAGAAACAGGCATACAGAATCCTCGAGCAACCCGAAGGCGTATTCGACCAACAGCTCATCCTCAAAGCCCAGCAGCTCGACGATCTTGCTGACAAGCCATGGTCGAAGCACTGTCATGTTAACTTTGCGCATGTCAACCTGGTATATATAAGACTTATGAGTTGGATCTCTGGTCATGGTCACGTACTTTTTTGTCAAATTCGGGAGGAAACTTCCCAGTCTTGAGAAGTTTGAGCTCCTTGTCAGAGAACCGGCGATCCTGATCAGCAGACGTGCCCTTGAAAAACCCTAGAAGAGGATTCAGGATGACGCCGCAATATAAGAGAGTATGCTATTCACCAGCGTCGGCCATTGTTGTGAACGTCGAACCCAGTGTCGTGGGCGTTGTATAAAAGTGTGCGGCGACTTCAACTCTCTCGTGCTTCGCCTGAAATGAGCGTGAGAATGATGTGACCGTAAATGGCAAGTCTCAAGAGATACGGCAACAGCAACCCGACGCTTAAATTCTACGCTGTTTCTTCAACGAGGCCGTCGTGTTCCCCACTCTACCTGGCGAGGTGCTTGCTTTACTTCCCCCTTCTCGAGTTTTCGCGATTTTCGAGGAAATATGCTCCGTCTTCACGATATCAGATCGCCATGCGTTCCTGCGGACGACACCACATGTTCGACACTGGCTCTAGATTCTGCTATATCCCGAGACTTCTCTCGCCGCTCATTCTTGAGCCCTGCACTGACCTAACCAACTCGGACCCTTATAACTTTCGCTGTCACTGACGTCTGTGCACGGCCTCGCCATAGCTTAGCGCGCCGCTCGCAAATCTCCGCCCGGGGGAGCACCAGGAGCGTCGAAACCCGCCATTCTTCATTCCTCGATCTCACGCCTTTCAATCTCTGAAGGTTCCGTGCCTTGGGATGTCTTATCCCGAGCTGCGGAGAGTTCCAGCACTTTACAAAGATGTAACATCCGTTAACGTCAGCACGTGTGATAATAGCCCCTCAACGATCTTGTCCTTCTTGGCTTCCATCCATGGCTGCCACCTCCAAGCACTTTCTCTCCGGCAATGCCTCGTTTCTCTCTCTTACTACCACTAGCTCATCTTCGATGACTCCCTCAACGACGCCCACTGGTGCGTTGAACAGCACTATCATGTCCATGCCGCATGTAGTGAAGTTCGCAGCGAGCATAGAAGAACAGGAGGAGACCTTCTTTGTCCAGGATGTCCCTGGCAATGGCAAAGGGGTTGTCGCTGCACGGTCTATCAGGAAGGGAGAGTTTCTCTTCTCCGAGCCGCCCCTGTTCACACTCAACCCCTCCCCGACAAACTCGATGCTCCTAGGCGCGCTCTCCAAGTGCACCAGAGACGAGCAGCGTCAGTACTTCACCCTTGCAAACTCGTATCGCAAACGTCTCCTGCCTGCTTTGGCCATCTGGGAAACGAACTTCCTTCTACTCGGGAACGGCACACATCTCAAAGCGGCCCCACAGCCCCTCGGCGAGCTCGCTGGCATCTTTCTCCTCGCCTCTCGCATCAACTCGTCATGCACACCGAACGTGAGCAAGTCCTGGGACGAGATCCGAAATGTTATGGTCTTTCGAACGCTACGCGATGTACAAGACGGCGAAGAGCTATGCTTCAACTACTGCGATGTGCTCTCAGCACAGGATGAGCGCAAACGGACCCTGATGGAGGAGTTCGGGTTCGACTGCACATGCGATGCATGCAGACTCGGAGGAGAAGAGGCGGTGGAAAGCGACAGGAGGCGGACATCGATCTTGCGGTTGTTCGATGAGGTGGGGCGGTGCGCGAAGGAACCAACCCTAGGCATTCGCAAGGTGTGTATCGTAAACCTTAATTCCTCCCGCCTCCGCTAAAATGCTAGGCTCCAGATTAAGCTAGCATTGCAGATGCTGAAAGAAGAGTCGTTGATACACTATGAAGCGTCGTTCTGCTATGACGCCTTTCAATTCTGCGTGCTTGTACGTCCCCTGACCTGGTCAGTAGCTTGTGATGACAGAGCGTTGATCCCATCCTACGTTAGGTTTCGGACTTTGCAAATGCGAAGGCATGGATACGACGAGCATGGGAAGTGTCCTGCATCACGTCCGGGCCAGATAGCAATGCGGCGCGCATGTTCAAGGTCTACTGGGCGAATCCTCGCTCGCACACACTAGCTGCTGCGCTACCGAAGGCGACGTTGTCAGGGCCCGATTGATGTGCGATACCAGTATGTTCGACCAGCTACTTGCCTATAGACGCTGCGTAGGGTGGGATGTTCCAGTCCGCATTGGAAGTTTATCTAGAGTTTGAGTTTCATGTAACGTGTGTTCATGCTATTCATCCCGACTATGCTGGTATGTTCTATCTTAAGTAAATATAACTATTATCATCGCCTTACCTTGCCAGTGAGATTTAAGATATCTGCCTGCAGCACATAATTCCCACACCCACAGATACTGCACGTTCGACGAGAAGGCACGAACGGCACAGGAGATATTAAGCAGCTAGAACCCCAATACGTTCCATAGAGACGAATCAGGCCCTGCTAAAGTCCGTTTGCCTAGGCTGCTCGCATCCGAATAGGAGCTTGGGTTCGCGACGAAGTCTTTCCAGTAGCAAGCGTGATCGTCACCGAAGGCCGCCCGGGAAGCTTCGAAAGCTCTGTGCGCCCATGACATCGCACTGGTGAAGTCGGATACGGCGGCACAGCAGTGGAAGCCGCTGTAGCAGAACGACGATTCGTACACCGGGAGTCTCTCCTCGCGCAAGAAGCGCAGGGCCAGAACGGCCTGGAGGTTGGCATCGGTGAGTATCCTGCGTACGTCACCGTCGACAGTTGACGTACCTCTCCCACGCCCTCGAAAGGGTCGCCGTACGAACCCCGTAGATGGGCACTGTACATCATCGCAAGGCATTCCCTCCGTGCATCGCTTGCTACGAGGGCCTTCCCTTCCAGGCTACAAGCCTCGCACGCGCAGTCGAACCCAAACTTCGCACTCAGTTCCGCCCGCCGCTCGCCCCGTTTCGCGAGGAGCCTGCCGTAGCCAAGACAGAGCTCCTCGCCCGCCTCGATGTCGCGCAGTGCACGAAAGACGAGCTGTCCACGCGCAGCGTCCCAGTGGTTGTTCACGTTCGGGACGCACGAGTGGTTGAAGCGCGCGCCGGCGAGGAAGATCCCGCCCTGCTGAGCGACGTGCCCGTGTGCGTCATTGCTGCCACACGGTAGGACGTTCGTCTCGAAGATGCCTAGCGCCTGCGCGTACCTATCGCCGTGACAGCTGTGCAGGCGGAAGAACTCTTGCTGCTGTTCGGGCGTACACTGGGCGAGCGCGCCGAGGACCGAAGCATTCCCCCGTACAATGCTTTGCGTGAAGAGCGGCACTTCGGCGAGGACGGTTTCGCCTCGCTGGAAGTATCGTAATGCTATGATCCCTTTCCCTTTCCCCGGTACATCTGTGATGTAGAGGTCGTCTGTCGAAGGGAAGGTCATGAACGTGTCAATGTGTCCTGGCACCTATCCGATAGGACTAACCGAGATACATGTTTCCCAGAGGTTTGTCGTGAGATATTTTACCGTACATTGCGGTTCAAGTGTCAAACTATACGGCGAATGGAAGAGCGTAGAGCTTATATCCCAAGCTACATTGGTGTCCATGAGGTCAGTGCATGTTTTTCATGCTACGGCTGCAATCGATAAACGTTGTGTCGCGCACATTTCAGAACATGCGAAAATGGCGAGGCAGCACTATACCATGCTCTGATGTGTAATTTGAGACAACTGTGCTGAACAACGAGCGGCCATGTTTTGTCGTGCTTTCGCGGAGAACAGGCTCGAGAACACGAAGTGTGTGTGAAAATTGCGGCCACTTTGGGATAGAGCGGCTTGAGGTTACTTGGGCCTTGAGAAGGTTCGACTAGACTTGACCGCGAATGACAACTTTGACTTGTCTCTCTCACATGCGACGCTGACTGGGTCATTCATTTTCTTTACAACGCGTCTTGGAGGCCCTGTTCATGCCAGCTCCGACCCATATATCTGTCATCGGCGGCGGTCTTTCTGGCTTGTCTTCCGCATACCACCTCTCGCGGCGTTTCCCAACAGCCAAGGTTACTCTTCTGGAACAATCGCCTCGCCTGGGCGGATGGGTACATAGCGAGCGTGTACACGTGCAAGACGATAAGGGAAATGAAGCGGGAATACTACTTGAGAGGGGCCCAAGGACGCTCAGGCCCAACAGCAAGGCTGTCCTCGAGTTGGTATGCTACACGCCCCAATTTGAATGAGGTCATATTGACCGATAGAAGCCCAGATAAACCTCTTAGAGCTTCAGCGGTCTCTCCTTGTCGTGCCAAAAACTGCGGCTGCAGCACGAACACGTTTTCTCCATATCCCGGGGACGCGTGGTCTGACCGCGCTTCCGTCGTCTGTTACCAGCCTGCTTGCCACGCCTCTTGGACGTGCTATCGCTCTGGCAGGTGCACGCGAACCACTACGAAGCTATCCGAGCGCTATTCGATTGGCAGCTGAGGATGGGGACGAGTCGCTCCATGAATTTCTGTCGACGAGACTGGGTCCTGAGCTCGCTCGAGTTTTGGGTAGCGCCCTCGTGCACGGCATATATGCTGCAGATTCAAAGCTACTCAGCGTTCGGGCCGCTTTCCCGTCGTTGTGGGGGCTAGCCGAAGATGGCCGTGGAAGCATATTGCGCGGCGTGCTCTCCCGAATACTGAAGTCGCGCTCCCCCGAGCCATCGGCGAATGATTACGATTTGGGCGAAGTGCCTAGGATCATGCAGACTGCCAGCATTTTCTCATTCGAAGAAGGGATGACTGCGTTTGCGGCTGCTCTGGAAAAAGCTGTGATTGAGCATCCAAATACTGAGATTTTGAAGAACGATAAAGTTGATGTCGTTCAGAAGGATACTGCTGATGGCGATGTAACCGTGAGTCCTCCAGGGAGATCAAGACTAGACTATCTGTACTTACCACCTTGACAAGATACGAACACAATCTGGCAGGATCGTGTCTGCGTCACACCTCGTCTCTGCGATGCCACTGCCCGCCCTTCACACACTGCTAGAGCGGTCTTCCCTGCCCTCCCTCCCTCATCTAACCGCTAATCCAACCTCCTCTGTCATCGTTGTAAACGTCGTCTTCCCGCCTACACCGCCTGGACAGCCCATTCACCCTACCGGCTTCGGTTACCTCATCCCACGCGACCAGGACTGGAACGCCAGCGTGCTCGGCACCGTCTTCGATGCGTGCGCACTCGGCGGGCAGGATACCTACCCATCTGTAGATGCGCCGAAGTTCACGAAGATGACAATGATGATACGTGCAGAGCCGTCGGCGCCGCCTGTCACCCAAGACGCCGTGCTAGCATACCTCACAGAGCACCTCGCGCCTGCGCACCCTCTGCCCCGGCCGGTCTACTTTTCCGCGAACATTATGCACGAATGCATCCCCACGCCCATAGTTGGGCATGTCCAGCGCATGAAAGAGTTGCGCAATGCAGTCTGGAGGGAGTGGGGCGAGCGCCTGGATGTTATCGGTGCCGGTGTTGGTGGAGTTAGCGTCAGCGACTGTATTCGAGCAGGGCCGGCAGGTCGGACGAGCCATGGG